TTCCTCTGTCTGCGGGGTCCCCCTGCCCCCGCTTCCCCTCCCCTCGGCGTCCCCCTCCTTTCCTTCCCCGCGGAGTCCCTCTCTCTTCGGGGGTCCCCCTCCCCGCAGGGTCGCGCTTCTTCCCCTTCCCGCGGGGTCTCTCTCCCGAGCACGTCCCCTCCCCCCTTGTTGACCTCCATCTCCTCTCCTCCTCCTGGGGCCCCCTCCCTTCTTGTTTGACTCCTGTCCTTGTCCCCCCTCTTTTCCTCCTTGTCCTGCTCCCCCTCGCTCCTCACTCTCCCCTTCCCCTTTGTCTCCTCTTTCTTCAGCCTTTCTCCGCGTCTCCCTCTTTTTTGGTCTCCTCTGCCCCCTTGTTTGTCTGCTGCCCTCCCCCTTTTCCTCTTGCCCCTCCCCCTGACTCCTCCTCCCTGGGTCCCTTTCCTCTTCTCGTTGGTCTCCTCCCTGCTGCCCCCCTCCCCTGCTCTCTTTGGCTTGACGCTCGGGTCCCCCTCCCCCCGTACCTGCTGAGCCTCGCCCCCCACCCAGGTGCTGTGTCCTTGTTTAACCTGGAGTCTAGTGGGGTGGGGGGCGCCGAGCTCGGGGTCCTGCCCTGGATGGGTAGGGGACCTCCATGCCCGGAGCCCTCCTCACATCACTCCTGCATTTTGCACTAGTGTTCCACCCACGTTCAAGTGCAAGTGCTGTCTTATCTGCTGGTGCTCCTAAGGGAGGAATTGTGCCTGCCTCTTCATCTGTCTCCTGAGGGCGCAGTCCGTGTTACCCCGAGGTCCCCAACGATCCCCTCTTGCTGCTGCTTTCCGGATCCCCCAGACTACTTGCTGCCCTCCCTCTCATCTGGCTGTCTTGGCTCCACTTTCTCCCCCGTCTTGCTGGCCTGTTGCTACAGTTTTTCCTCAACTCCCCTGTCTTCCTAGGGCATCTACTGCTTTGTCAGCATCCTTACTTGTGCCCCACCCTTGCTCTCTCCTCTCAGCCTTTGCTTGCTCAAGGCTGCCAGGTCGCAATCATTCCAGTGTACAGTGGTGTCTCCCGAAATCCAGGCCTTTGGAAAGGAGTGCCGTTCTGGGGATTTAGGATTGTGTTTTGTATCCTAACTCATAATACGTTCATATAGCTTTGTTTTTCTAGAGCAGCCCTGTAGGTTAAGAAGGCAAGCATATTAGTATCCCTTTTTTTACAGAAGAAACTAAGGCTCAGGTTAAGAGTCACAAGAAATCAGAATCAACCCCAGGATTCTCTAGGTACAATAAAGGGATATGGGGGCTCCAGAATTCTCAGACTCCGAGATGGGGTAATAGGTGCATCGGGAAGATACCTGCAGCTTAAAACACTGGGAATTTGGGGGGTTTGTCCTTGTATCCTTCCCACCTAACAGCACATGCCACCCCACCCCCTGCGGGGGGAGAGTTGGTAACAGGCAGGCCCAACAATTCCTGTCCTCAGGGATCCAGGCTTGGGTTTAGTTTGGAGAACATAATGGCCAAAGGCCGTGTGTATAGCTAAGTATAAAACAAATACAAAGTACTGAGGGAGGAAGATTAGCCCCAGGCTCCTGGAAGAGATGGCATCGATGGGGATTTTGTTCACCTGGGTGGGGAGATGGCCCTTGGAAGACTTACTTCAGTGCACTGGAGCCCTTCCTTCCTGGATTTTCTTAAAGTTCTCTGGTTACCAGGGCAGCAGGCAGCAGCCTCCCTTTCCTTGTACAAAGCCAAGCATTTATGATTGTTGGGCCCCTGTTACATAGGAGGGGTTTAATAAAGCCTTGGTGATTGGTTCCAGGTACCACCTTGAGGGAGCGGCTAGGTGGTGCTAGGTCTTTGACCCAAGGCACCTGCCTCGAGGGCTTGTTGTGAGGAACACAGAAGATGAAGCAGTAACATAGTGCCTGGCCCATGATAAATGCGTGTTCCCTTTCTTCCCTCCATAACCAATTAGTCACAGAATAGGGAAGAGCCTTCTGGGCATCCTCCAGGACCCTCAGGCTCCCCCAGGAGTCAACCTGAATTCTTCCCTCTCTCACCCCCTAGCCAGGCTGTTGCCAAGGCCTCGGTATCACCTCAGCAGCATCTCTCCCATGCTCCTCCTTTCTCTGGGCTTCCCAACTCTGGACTGTTGCACTAGCTGCTGGTCGATCTCTCCCCACTCCGGGTCATCCTCCATTCAGCCACCAAAGAGATTATCCTGAAGCATGAGTCTGATCCTGTCAGCTCCCTGCTTCATAAATTCCAGTGACTCCCTCCTGCCCCCAGGATCAAATACAGCATCCTCTGGTTGGCCTTGGAAGCCCTTCACCACCTAGCCCCCTCCCACCTTTCTGGTCTTCTTACACCTCAGTCCCTAACAATTACTCTTCATTCCAGTGGCTGTCACAAACAAGCTCCTCCAGCCTCTCAGCCCCAGGCATTTTCTCTGGCTGTCCCCATGCCTGGAATGCTCTCCCTCTGCTCCAACTACTGACCTCCCTGGCTTCATCGTTTACCCAAAGCCTTCCACCTGTTAATTATCTCCTGGTTAGCCTGCATATGGCTCGTTGTACATATCACTTGTCATCTTCCCCATTAGATTGTAAGCTCCTTCAGGGCTGAGACTGTCTTGTTTTTTGTTTTGTTTTGTTTTTTTTAATCCCCAGCACTTAGCAGTGCTTAATAAATGTTTATTGGTGAATTACATAGGTTTGGGGCATCATAAACCTCTGATTAAAAAAAGTCTGATATCCAAGATATGTAGGGAGTTGTCAGTCTACAAGCATTGATTAAAGGCCTACTCAGTGCCAGGCAGAGACAGCTCTGTGTCTGTGTCGCAGTGGATAAAGAGCCAGGCCTGCCTGCAGAAAGACTCATCTTTCCAAGTTCAAATCTGGCCTCAGACACTTACAAGTTCTGTGACCCTGGGGAATTCACTTAATTCTTTTTGCCTTAGTTCCTCCTCAGTAAAATGAGCTGGAGAAGGAAATGGCAAACCACTCCAGTAACTCTGCCAAGAAAACCCCAAATGGGGTCATGACTGAAAGGACTAAACAACAATGTCTATGCTAAGCAGAGCTCAAAAGGCAGCATGAGATCATGGTCAGAGAGCTGACACATACTAACTGCCTATCTTTGGGACCCTCTGCAAGTCTCTTAACTACCCAGAAATCCTCGTTGTGAAAAAGGGTTCCTGTGGTCCTCCTCCCAGCTCCCTTCCTCTCTGTGAGCTGCCAGCCTGCTCCTGCCTCCAGTGTGGGAGAAGACAGCCAATGCCAATACGTGAAGCATGGCTTTGGAGAGATGCACAAGCAGATGGCTTCTGGGCTTGAGTGGGAGCTGGGCCTTTGATTCTGTTCAGAGGAGAGAGGAAGCGATTGTCCCAACGTCGTACAGCCCTTTTAGCCAAAATGAGATTGAACCCAGGTCTTCTCGTGCCAAATCCACGGTTTGTTTTTTTAACTACACCACATTTCCTTCCTATTTCCACAATTCAAACATGGAGAAAGTGCTGAGCACTTTAATCATTGGTTGAAAGCATCTGGGATATGTTTGCGTTTTTCTAACCCATTCTACAAACGTCTCTTAAGCACTAACATTCCCATGAACAGTGCCTGCCCTTGAGGAGCTTGAATTCTGATTGGGGGATGGCACACAGATGATGTGAAGACGGAAGCAGAACAGCTGAGCCTTGAAGGACGCTAAGGATTAAAACAGTAGAGGGGATGAGTGGGCAAGGGGCACTGGTGTACAGCGAGTCTAGAAACTGGCATCCTGGGCCGGTGTGCTGGAGCCTCGAGGTAGAGGGAGAGTGATGAGAGGCGCTGGGAAGCCACCAGAGTTCCTCAGAGTGGGGGAGGGGGACGTAGGTAGGCCTGCACTTCGGGCCGCTGGCTGGAGGGAGGGGGCGGGGCTAGGCTCTTTTGAATTTTTTACTTTTAACTCTCCTCAAGTATAGTTATATAACCTATCTGGATCAAATATAGATGGTGAGAATAATGCACAGGGTTCATGCTCATTGGGAGGCTTTCTACAGCATATTTTCTGATACTCCACCTGGCGTTCTTGGCCGTCTCCAGTCTAACTTTCAACCTGCGTCTCCAGCTTTATCTCTTATTTCCCCATGTGCTTTTTACCGGAGCTGGCTTATTAGCTATTTCCCAAATTCACTTGGTCTCTCGTGCCTGGAATTCACTCCTTCCTTACCTCTAGCTCTCAAAATTACTGTCCTTCAAGACTCAGTCTTGTGTACCTTACCAATTCCTCCCCATCCTGTATTAATGCTGTTCTCCCCTACCTAAAAGTACCACATATCTGTTTATCTGTATATACATATATACACACACACACACACATACACACACACACACATATATTTTCTACTCCCCCCATCACCTCTCTGTACATATATACATTTATTTTCTCATCCACCATCTATTCCAGGTCCGCCCCCCTTCTCCCCCGCACAGGCTTTTGTTTCCCAGTTTTTTGTTTTTGTTTGACTAAAACCTAGCACCAAGCATTGTATATCATAGGCATTTAATAATCACTTGTTGACTTGAATTTAAACCACTTTGGCATTTTTAACATGTTGAGCACCAAAAAAGTAAAGAAAATATGTTAAGTTTTACAGGCAAATGTGGCATCTGACTCCCTGGTACCTTTCGGGGTCAAGGCTCCCTCCTTTAGCACAAGAACCTGTTCAGTTTGAAGCAGCGCTCGTTGTCCTTAGACTGTGCTGGACAGATCAAAGGAGGCATCTGTAAAATACTGCTAGTCATTCTAAGTACAGTTCAATGGTATCTAGCGGGTGGTAGAACTTACAGAATACGTCAAGACACTGGATTTTAAAGGCAGGAGGGACCTTAGAAATTGTCTGTCCCCTCCCACCTGTGCACTAGTTTATTAGGTTGGCCTGTTACCAAAAGGAAATCCATTTGGGAAGATTCTGTAAAGCTCCTGCCTTTGAAGACTCGGTGCACAATGTTCCCAAAACAATGCAGGCAAGCCGCCTCGCAGGAGGTGCGCTGCCCAGTTGGCAGCATTGGTCACCTTCCATGCCACGTGCTTCCTTCAAGGGGGAGCGAGTGGTTAAGTGCCTACTGTATGCCAGGCTCTGTGCGCAGCGCTTTTCTGACATCATCTCATTTGAAGGAATGGAATCAGAATTAAGGCCTAAACAATTCTCCCTTGGAATCCTGCCCCGTGGATGGCAGCTTCTCTTAACTGGTTGTTGCCCTTGCATGAAGTCACTAATCCTTCTGCTGGGAAGAAATGCCTAAGACTTTCCTGTCTTGTTGGTAACTAACTGGTGTGTGCACGTGCCATCTCCTACCTTACCAGGGGCCTGCTGCCATTTGCACACAGTGGACGGAACAGTAAGTTGAGGGCTTTGGTTTTCATATTAGTTTGTTACCCATATTGTCTGTGCCTTATTGTCCAGATCCCTTCAGACCTTTTGAGTGAGGTCAGTCTCCTCAGATCCACTTTTCTGCTTTGAAGAAGGGAACCTCAGAGCTAGGAGAGCAGTTAGGCAGTTCACATTGTCCAGGACGGGAAAATTGTGTATCTGGCGATCTTCAAGGGGTCTTCCTCTTCCCCCAAATTCACATCTGTAGATGTTTGATAACTGAAATACTTTGTTTAATGTGAACTTCTTTTCACCAAGTGTTAGTTCAAACATACGCCTTGTGTCCCCGTCCCCCCCCAGTCTAACTTGTATAAAACCTAGGTGTTGGCCTGTAATTTTGGTGTTACTTTTTGTACTCACACACAGAGCGTTCTTTCCAAAGAGACCGCATATCAGGCCTGTGGCCTGTATTTAGACTCATATGCAATCTGAATACTTCCTTGTATGTCAGCCATTGTTCCATGTTCTGCTGTTTCCAGGCTTTAGTGACAATGTGTGCCACGTGGGGAAAGGATGCTGATGGGTCCTTCAGCAGAACATAGTGTGCCTGGCATCAGCACTAGCTTGGAGGGCAGAAGTCCACCTCCTCGTGGTCTCCAGTCTGCTGTTGCCTCCCTGGTTCACCTCTCCTAATACCCTGTTTATACCATTGTTACTCAATATCCCTTTTAATAGCCGTGTTTCCCCAGAAATATGCACTTGACCATAGAAGATGGAAAGGAAAAGGAATAATTTATTTTCTTTCAGTCATCTTTTCTTACATCAGCTTCAAAAGTAAGCCACAAAAGCCTTTGTGGGCCACATGGGCATTGTGGTGTTGCCCCCAACTCCTGCCTCTCTTTTACTCTCAGTAAAAGTACCTTCCAGTAAAGACTTTATAGCAGATGCTACTAACTTTGCTTCCTTTTTAGCTTTCTTTTCCGGGAATAATCTTGGCCTTTTGGTAATCTCCTCTGGTCTTCTAACTCCATAGGAAGAGGAGTTGTATGCCTGCCAGAGAGGCTGCAGGCTGTTTTCAATTTGTCAGTTTGTGGATGATGGAATTGACTTAAATCGGACCAAATTGGAGTGTGAATCTGGTAAGATGACATGCTAATGACATTCTCTATCTTTTTTTTTCTTTGTTACATTTATTTATTTAAAGAATCCCAAGCATCTTCTATTAAATAGTCTTATGTACACTTTGCAGTTGTCACAGTTTCCGTAGCTGCAGCTCATAACTGCCAGATTGCTGGGTTTTCTGTAATTCCATCTCATTTCTGGGACAATGTTGGCTTTGTGCTGTAGTTAGGATGCCTTTATTTTACCAACCATTTGGCTTAGACAAATGAAGTGGCAATTACTGCACTCCTAATTCATCACCACGTCTTCTCAGATGGTATAATTTCCCTCACTGAGAGTTTTCAGTCATAGGTTGGTTGGCACTGGCTGGTGAGTTTTGCTGAATCAGGCCTTTGACTAAATATTAAATAGTGTATTCTTTGTGGGTCATTCCAAGAAGGAGAGAAATGGAGTTCTTTCACCAGTTAAATCACTAATCTCAGATTTTGCTGAAAAAGATCTGTTAAAGGCATACCTGTAATCAGAGACAGTGTTGGTAGATTCACGTTTTTAAGGTGATATCAGAACCTTGGTCTGTTCACATCATTCTCAGTGGCCCAGTATTGTGTCAGGAAAAAGGAACTGGTTTAATGGAAAAATAAAAGGATCCTGTCTATTATACATGCGTCTTCTAGTGGACTTAATTTTCAGTTTTCATTTGAATACTTTTTATCACCAGCTTAGAAAAATTAGGATTTATAGACCTTTTAAAATGTGCCCTAATTTTCTCAAAGTTGAATGTCTTGCTTAATTGTTTTATTTTGAATCTTTTTTAAATCCTTTTTCTTTGTCCTCTTTGTTAACTCTCCTCTCTAAAGTAAATGGTGTGGTAACAATGTCACAGTGCTGGGTCAGGGTGGGAGATGTATACTTTCAGATCCTAACAAGGAACACTGATGGGTTCGTGGGGCAGTGAAAAAGCCCTGGGCTGGTAGTCAAAGACAGACCTAGAGTTGAGTCCTGAGTTTGCCCCAGACTAGCCAAATGAACGACCTTGGTCAGGTCGTCGTAAACCTGTTTGAATCTATTTTCTCTGCAATGGCATTCATAAAGTATTTTTAAAGTTTAAAAAGCCCTTTGCTTATGAAAAATCTTGCATTGATTATTGCAAATGTCATGGACTCCATTTTACAGTGAAAAAAATCCTGGTCCGATTAGTGTCAGGGTCACAGTTCAGATCTGCAGGTTGTCTCTCCTGACCCAGTCCAGGGCTCGCCTCTATTAAAACAGCAGTCACTCCACTTAGCTTTGTGTATATGTCCTGAGGGAAAGAAAGCATCGTGTGAATTACAAAGAGCCTCTGACACATGAGCTGTGGAGCAGTTTTGTGATATAAATACCTTTTTCTGTGATTATTTTCACCATCTTACATCAGCATAACACTGGAGAACTTTCAAAGCCCTTTGATGTGTATGAGCCACAGAGAGCTGCAGAGGCTCCTGCTTTGTAGGGGAGGGACCAAGGCTTTAGAGAAGAAATCCAATGACTTCCTCAGAACAGGGACAGAAGCCCTCTTGTGCCTATCTCCCTGCCCTCCTCCAGCCCCACTGATAGGCTTGTTGTCTTCCTGCTGGTCCATAGAATCCCCCGAAGCAGTGCTTGTTGATTGAAACGTGGGGCTGAAACAACCGCGTGGCCGGCCTTTGCCTGGAGCGCATTCTGATGGGATGCGCTGCTTGTTTGGAGCCCTGCACACCTTCCCTGAAGCTCAACTCTCTGTTTCTCTCCCTCTCAGCTTGCACAGAGGCGTACTCCCAGCCTGGCGAGCAGTACGCTTGCCATCTGGGCTGCCAGAGTCAGCTGCCATTTGCTGAGCTGAGACAAGAACAAGTAAGCACATGGCCCTCCTTCCCTTCCTTGTGACAGTAGCTTTCTTGAGGGGTGCTAGCGCAGCTCCCTGCACTCCCACCAAGTCACATTCAGGTGTCAGCAAATGGTAAAGGGAGTACGTTTGTCAGATAACAAAGTCTAAGGCTCCACAAAGATCCCAACAGGCCAGAACAATGGCCAACTTTGTTAAGTTGGCATTTAACAGGCATTTAAATATGGAGATCAGTGCTGCAATGGGAAAAAGGCCTATGGATTTTAGTGAACTTCAAGTACTGTGGCATAGCTACTCCAAAAATGATCATTTGAACATATGTTAATAGAAATAGTAACAATTAAAAAATTTTAAGATAAATTATTAAGTATTTTGAGATAAATCTAATATTTTAATATTAATAGAAATATCCAGAATTAGGCAGGGTAAAGGCCCACCATCCCATGCTTTGGTCAGAGCACATCTAGGGTATTATGTCTAGCATTCCATTTTAGAGAAAATATGAATACATGTGCATGCAGAGGAAGGTGAACAGACTAAGCATGAGGTTTGAAACCTAGTCTGAAGTAACATTTAATCTGGCAAAGAGGCAGCTCACTGCAACCCAGTGAGGGAGGTACGGCAGGTGTGTAATTCCTCTAAAAGTTTTTGTCTTCTCTGCTGGGTGCTTAACAGTTCAGGGCCAAGGAGGGGTAATCCAGAATTAAAGATTACACAAATGTAATTTTTCTGTTACTATAGACTCTCCTAGGTGTGGATACCAGGGAATGCCCTTGGCGAGCCATAAAGTATATAAAAATGAAATCATGTCTCATTTTTGTTGTTGCCCACCACCAACAGTCCGTGTTTTGTTTTGGGGTGGGAAAGACAATGCCTGAGAAGTTATGGAAAAAAAAAAAGAGGAAATTAAGCCTATTTCCATACTGAAGAATTGGGAGTGAATTTTTCTAAAAAAACTACTGTCTCCCTCCAATCAAGTGCTGCTGTAATGCCTCACTGTGACATGGAGTTGACCCTCTATACGAGTGGAACTCAAGTTTTGCTGATGCAGAAAACTTTAAGTCATGGGCTCTGAGTGACAGGCTATATGTGTGTCGCAGTTGAATTCAGACAGGCATTCAGCCACCAGATTGGCTACAGAGTGGGCTCTTTGAGGACCTCACACTGAGTCAGAGAGAATCACATAGGATACATTAGTATCGTGTACCAGTGAAATCATATAAGGTCGTTGAAGTAACTTCCTAGCTACCATTTTAGAAAAGAAAATATACCAGGATCAAAATTTTCTTATAACAAAACTGATTAATTTAGAAGAAATGGATACTTAAATAAAATTTAAAATACCCAGATTGACAAACAGAAGAACTTCACTACTTAAATAACCCACTATCACAAAAATAATTTGAAAAAACCACAAATGAAATCCCAAAGAGAAAGACTCCAGGACAGATGGATTTAAAAGTGAATTCTGTCAAACATTGAAAAAACAATATAAGGAAGACTGTAAAAATAATAAGCCAAGTTAACAGTACAAATAATAAAGATCATAATTATAAATACTAGAAAACATAGAAGTAAAGGGATTTTTTTTTTCTTCTTTTGGCGAGGCAATTGGGATTAAGTGACTTGCCCAGGGTCACACAGCTAGTAAGTGTCAAGTGTCTGGTCTGAGACCGGTTTTGAATTCAGGTCCTCCTGACTCCAGGGCCGGTGCTCTATCCACTGCGCTACCTAGCTGCCTCAAGGGATCTTTTCTTAACATAGTAAGTATTTACTATGAAACCAAGAGCAAACATCATGTGTAATGGAGGAAAGTTAGAGGCCAGAAAGATCGTGGATAAAGCAGGGATGCCCATCATCATCATTAATTGTTACCATAGACCTAGAAACAAAAGAGAAATCAAGGGAATGAGTATAGTTAAAGAGGAAACAATTATTTATGCAGAGAATCTGATGATTTTCTTAGAAAACCCTAAAGAGTCAGCTATAAAACCAATTCAAACAGTTCACCAAAGTTACAGGATATGAAATAAAGCTGCGTATGTCATCAGTATTCCTACATATTACCAACAAAACTCAGCAGTAAGAGCTAGAAAGATAAATTTCATTCAAAATATTTACAGAAGGTATAAAATATTGGAGAGGTGTCTACCAAGACAACTCAGGAACTATATGATTTTAGCTACAAAAACACTTTTTTTTGCAGAAATAAAGAATCTCAGGGGAAGTAATGGAAAAAGGTATGGAAAAGAGCCTAGTGGTACCAGATCTCAAAATACAGATAATTCTCGCTTTATGTAAATTTGCATTATGCACATTCAACTTTAGTAAAACAAATTCTGAAAGAAATCTACATCCCAAAAAAACCACCTGTGTTAACTTTACTGTACTGTGCTCTCTTTGTCTCTCTCCACTCCTGCCCCTTGTCTCTGTGGCCTCTCACCAAAAACAAAAACCCTCCCCTCCAAATGTAAGCATAAGTGCAGAGAGACCACCACTGCTGAATCAGGGCTGGGCTTGAGACCTCCAGTGCCAAGAGAGGAGACCTTTGCTCTCTTCCACCCACCCACACCTGGGGACTGTGTGTCCATCCCCAGCCCTCACCTGTCACCCTTCCTTTTCTGTCCGTGGCCAGCCCCCATGTATCTGCGCCAAAGCCAGACTCTCACGTAGCTGGCCCCAGCCCCCACATACCCTTGCACCGTGTGCCGGCTCCCTTCCTGCTTCCCTGCCGCATGTCCGTGGACAAATCTATGGAACAGTCCATCTGTAAAAGGAGAGCTGTCTGTATTGCAAAGCAGTTACCATTAAAGCAATTTGGTGCTGATTAAAAAACAGGTCACTCATTGCAACAGCATAGGTACACAGCATACAGGAGCAAACACAAGAGTGTTGAATAAATCTAAAGACCTATTTGACAAAAACGACTGGGAAAACTAGAAAGCTACCTGGTAGAAGTTAGGTATAAATCAACACTTCCCACCATATACCAGGAGGCGGTCCAGGTGGATACAAGACTTGGACATAAAGGTCACATCGTAAGCAAGTTCTATGGGATAAAGGGAGATGCTCCCTTTCATACCTGTGGATAGGGAAGGAGTTTATAACCAAATAAGGGGTAGACAGGATCACAGAAGATAAAAGGGACAATTTTGTAAGATTTTGCACAAACAAAATTAATGCAGTTAAAATTAGAGTGGAAACATGTAGCTGGAAAAAAAATCTTTGCAACAAGTTTGATAAAAGTCTTCCAGGTTATATAAAGAACCCATTCAGATTTATAAGACTTAAGAGCCATTCCCCAGTAAATAAGTGGTCAAAAGATATGTTCTTGATCAGTTCCAATAGCGTCCGACTCTTTGTCGCCCCATCTGGTGTTTTCTTAGCAGAGATACTGGAGTGGTTTGCCATTTCCTTCTCCTGCTCATTCTACAGATGAGAAAACTAAGACAAAAAGGGTTCAGTGACTTGCCCAGAGTCACATAGCTAGTAAGTGTCAGAAGCTAGACTTAAACTCAGGAAGATGCATGTTTCTGATTTAAGGCCTGGTGCTGTGTGCACCGTGGCGCCACCTAGCTGCCCAACAGCAACAACAAAAATTTATAGCACCTCATTTTGTAATAGCCCAAACCTGGAAACTAAAGGGGAACAAATTATCATAGAATATAGCGGAATATGTACACACACACACACACACACATCCATAAGAAATGTTGAATTGGACAGTTTTGAAGGACTCAGGGAATATATTAACTGATGCAGAGTAAAGTGAGTAGAACTGGGAAAGCAATGTATATGATAACATTTTAAAGAAAAAAAAAACATTGAAAGGCGGTAGGAATACAGTGATAATCCGGGATTCCAGAGGGCTAAAGATAAAGCATGCTACACCACATCCTGCCTGAGAAGTGATGCACTCAAATGCAGAATGACTCATACGTTTTTGGACGTGGCTTTTTTTAATTGTCCATTTTGGAAGGTTACACTAGTGGAAGGAAAGAGAGAGAGATAATAAATGCTTATTTTAAAATTTTCTCTTGAAACCCTACTCTCACTATCTGGAATTCAGTTTTGGAAACTAATAAATAGGATGCATTTATATAACAGATCATGGTAGCTTTACCAATTTACCATGGTAGATTACCAATTTAAACTAAGTTTAAAATGTGGTTTTTATTTCTGACCACAGCATCGACTGATGGTGACGGGAGGCAGCCCTCAAGTGTGCCAGTTGGCAAAGAAGGTCAGCCTGGGATTCAAGCTTTTTGATGTTTCCTTTGCCCACACACATAACTGAGGCTTGACCATAATGATGATAGTTTTGATGGTTTTGTGTCTGTGTATATATATGAAAAGTAGCCAGTGTTTCAAAATTGTCTCCTTACAGCTCATGTCCCTGATGCCCAGAATGCATCTGCTTTTCCCTTTGACGCTGGTGAGGTCATTCTGGAGTGACATGATGGATTCGGCACAGAGCTTCATAACCTCTTCCTGGACTTTCTATCTTCAGGCCGATGATGGGAAAATTGTCATCTTCCAGGTGAGAGCGTGAGTCTAGACTGACCCTGTCGTGGCTTCAGTAAGCAGCAGGTGCTTGTTTTAAGAATCGTAAGTGCTTAGTGCAAGAAGGGACCTTGGAGGTCAGTGGACGCCCTGGAGTAACCCACTGTGCCCCTTTCCCTGGGAGTCAGCATGAAATGATCTCAAAGCGACTTCCTGTTGAAGAGCCCCAATAGTTTTAAGTGTCTGCCTGTGAACTCCACCATAGTGGTTTTGATCAAGTAAAATCATAGCTGTTTCAATGTAAACAGTTTAATTCTTACCTCGCCTAATAATAATAGGGCACTGAAGGAAAGAAACCTAAGATAAGATACATAATTATTTGATTTGATTTGGACTTGGATAAGAAATTCATAAAAAGGGCTTGACTTTGCATTTCATTATTTCAGGCAGTGTGTACACAAGTAACTTTCATGACCAGCATATCTGTAAATAATAGGATAAATTAAGTGAATGTTTTATCGTCGTTATTGTTATTATGAGGGGCTGACTGTAAGATTGATGGGAGTATTTGGTCCAATCCAGGCCTTGTTGTTCCTTCTATTCTTTTAATTTGGGAACTGTAGATTAGTAATAGAATACATTCCTACAATTTCAGTAAAAGGTCTGAAGTGTAAGGGTGCCAGACAGCAGCTCCACTTGCTTTCCTGTAGATGTTCCCACCACCTGTTTGGGGCCCAGGTCTGTGTTGATTGTGGTATAAGTTAGCTGACCCAGCCGCTAATAATGAGCTGCCACAATGTGGAAAAGACTTGGGAGATTGTCCAGTCACCCACAGTGGTTTCACAGGTGAAACAAAGCCAAGATGGAATGCAGGTCTGTTCTCTGGCTCCATGCCCCTACACTTTTCCCACTGAGCCCTAGGAAGGGCGTCAATGGAGGGATGGCAAAAACTGCAGGAAGCAGCAGGCCTGCTCATCATTCACTCAGCCGTGATAACAGGCCCACGTGGCTGTCGCTGTGATGCTCTGATTGTGTGAAATTGAATGTGGTCCACCGTGATTTACCCCAGACTAGTGATAGCACCGTCACAGTCACCGTGATTTACCCCAGACTAGTGAT